CTGTGCCAGATTCCCCATTGTGCAAGGACGCTCTGGAACTGGTGGCTAAGGAACAGCACGCTTACCACAGAGTTGGCCATAAATACTTTGGTTTTCCCGCAGAATACTGAAGTGTTTTCTGCTCTGTTCCCAGTTTGCTCAGCAGTAGTTTGGCCTGTAATGATGTTCTGAAGGATCTCGAAAACAACAGAACGTGATGCTTTGTCATCCTCCGCCGGGGCAGTCTCGCCTGCAAACAAAGCATTGAAGAGAAGGTATCACAAGACTTGGAAATCAGGTGTGATGCTTTGTCATCCTCCACCGGGGCAGTCTCGCCTGCAAACAAAGCATTAAAGAGAAGGTATCACAAGACTTGGAAATCAGGACCAAGTAATTGTCTTTGCCCTAAAACTTCTTGGCCATTTAGGGGGCATACACCTATAAGAGGGGAGGAGGTGATGGCTGAGGCGTCACGAGTTCTAGCCGTATTTAAGGGGAAAACGTGACAGCATGGATTTTGCCATTTGCAGTTAGAAAACTCGTGGGGTGTGTTTCTGTCTTCTCTCTAATTACTAATGACAGGACAAGGGGAAATGGCCTCAAGTTGCGTCAGGGTAAGTTTAGATTGGATATTCGGAGGAAGTTCTTTACTGAACGAGTGGTGAGGCACTGGAACAGGCTGCCCAGGGAGGTGGTGGAGTCACCAACCCTGGAGGTGTTTAAAAAAAAAGTAGATCTGGCACTTGAGGCTATGGTGTAGTGGTTGGGTGTGCTGGGATGAAGGTTGGACTAGATGATCTTCAGAGGTCCCTTCCAACCCCTGACATTTTGTGATTCTGTGAATGAGGAGGTAGTTTGGGTGCTGTCTTAATCATCTCTATTATAACCTGGCCACAGGTAACAAATGTCATTTTGGGTGGATCCAGACAACAAAACACACACATGGGGTTCAGCTGTTCTTAGGTTGTTTAAAGCATCCTACATGGAAACGTTAGAAAACAGCAGCAGTGCAGTTAAGAAGAGATTCAAGCAGCTCAGTCCTAAGAAAATCTGATAAAACACCAAAATTCAAAGCCGTTGGGAACGAAGAACAAAAAGCAAGGAATTAAGACTCATGGCCTTAATGTACTGAAAGATGCAGGAACAGAAAGTGAATTCACACAATTCTACAGCTTCCACTGGGCACCAGAAGCAGCTATGGAGACATGTACGAAGCAGGAGTTTATTGCAGCACTAAGAGGTTATTAAAACCATTTCTGGGACATAGTATACAATTTTTTATGTTAGGAGACAAACAGGTTAGCCAGATTAATCTATTTGGAAATAGAGGTAGACTTAATTCAGACCTGTCCTTGAAAGAGATTGTGTTGCTCAAGGCAATGCTGCATGAATTTCTGCGTGCCCAATGCCGGAACATGATGGTCTTTGTATCTTTCCATCCTGGATACTGTTTGCTTTTCTGCTATGAATATTTCTAAGGAGATGAGAGCATTTTAAGGTACTGAAAATAAACAGAAGCAATTCTTGCTTACAGGAAGACATCTGGTGACTGATAGTGTTCATGGGGCTGGGCTGATAAGCTTATCCCCTTGTTTAGGAAATTGTTTTGCTTTGTTTGCAGCTTATTACCCGCTAAAGATAAAAAGGATTGTTAACCTATCACAGGGAGGCATTTCAGCTAATGGGTTTATAATTGAGGGAGAAAGATACAGCTTGTAAGTAATTTTCCAGCCTGTACTTGGTTATTTCATTCAATTTCCGAAAGGGGAATGGATTTCCAGCCATTTTACTTATCTGACATCGGCTGGTACTTACTGGTCCTGCTTCCCACGTGTACTGGTTACTGAACAAACCCACTGGGTGAAGATGGGATTCATCTGGAAGAGGGAAGGGGATTGCAGGAACTTTAGATATTAAATGTAACCATCTGATGAGCCTCCTTCTTTCAGGGGTTCATAGCAAAGATGTTACCTTGTAGTCTGGATTGTGTTTTTTAAAGTCCATCCTTGCTTAGAAAAAAGAATCGCACAAGTTTGCAAAAGGTGGAAGAAGCAGCAGAATCCAGTTAAGTTAGGAGGTCAGTGTGTTCGGCAAGAAAACAAGGTGGAGGGAAAAAAAAAAAGAAAGGAAGGAGAAGAAATATAAGCAAAAGTAAGTGGTTTTCAAGTCTACTCAAGAACCAACTCTAAACCAAATTATATCGTGAGGGAACCGCAAACACCATTGTCACTGTAATTATTCCCAAGAGGAACACAGAGAAACAGCAATAAGATGAACCATTTGCCCTTTTAAAAAGAGCCTGCTGTAAGCATTAGGCAAATTAGAAACTCAAACTGGTGATTAGAAAAGTATTTTGAAAATGGTGGCTTCCCTAGTGCTGACTACAGTAACTGTATCTGATCTATGCGCTATCACATGGGGGCAGCAATAATTTTACTTGGTAGCAGTGGGATTATATAAAGAAACATACCTTTTCTCTCACCAGTATGAAAGTTGTTTTTCTCACACACTGTGTTTTTATTGGAGCCACGTGATTTTCTCAGTATTTCATAGCGCTCAGTGAAACTTTGGAAAGAGATCCTGATAGACAAATATAAAGTTAATTCTAGGCAGCTATCCTTTCTAATATGGTAAATAAGGTGCCCTTTGAGGGGGAAAACTTGCAGAATGTCTTCAAAGCTCTAGTGTGTAGAACCCAAGTAGATTGGATATGGTAAATAACGTACCCTTTGAGGGGGAAAGCTCTAGTGTGTAGAACCCAAGTAGATTGATGCCTGTGTAGTCACCAATGCGCAAGAAAATAGAGACTTTGAGACTGCCTTTTGCCCAGTAACAACAACTTCTGCCTGGAGAAAGACTGGGCAGGAACTGTGCTCGTTTGTGGCAATGGTGAGCATCACCTGGTCAATACTGAGCTGTCAAAAACATGATGAGCTGAGGCCTTGTTCCCTCCATCCTCTAAAGGTGGTCAAGAAAGCCCAGTGGGGTGACTGGCTGTGATTTGATGCCTGACTTGGAGGTGACAAACTTAGATGAGTGCCATTTAAAATTTAAATTGCTGAAAATGTTACTCTGAAGACATGGTCAATTAGAAAGTATCTGATAGTCCGTATCAAAATACCTCTTCCCCAGCTTCTCAGACTGGAGAGGTACAGTGAGCTCACAGGCCAGAGGTGTGCTACAGACACATCTGGACTTGGTTAGTATTTGGTATATTTTTAAGAGTGCCATTGTCTTGAATGCAAGTTGTGCCAGCGCTGCATGTTGTGCTGTTGCTGCCCTTTTGGACTTGCTCAGCGAGCAGAGTTTCATTATCCAAAACTTGGACCACAGCCCAGATTTGTGACAGATGTTTTAGTGTCCAAAACATGAGAGGTGCTCAACAATGCTTAGAAGCGAGCAGTGAGCAGAACTCTTTAGATAGCTTGAAAGAATCACTAGTTTTGTGGTCTGAAACAGAATGCAAAATATTAGGATTTCCTGCTTATAAGCTCTTCAGAGTAACTAATTTTCCACTAATTGCTACAGAAATGAATTATGGAAGATGTTGCTCAAGAAGTTTGGCCTTACCTAACAGGGAAGCCTGCTGCACTGATGGTGATGGCTTCGACTATTCCACATGCCTGAAGCTGGCTGAGAACCTGAGGCATAAATTGAGATGGTTTAGGTAACTGCTGTCCTCGGGGAACCAAGGGAGGGGGCAGAGAAGGGGATTATGCAGCCACCGAGCTATGACGTGAAGCAACACCCAGAGTAGGGCCCCGGCAGTGCTAACAGAGAGGGACAGTCCTTGTGTGCCCTCTCTTGGGGTGTCCACATGCCCCGCGCTGACTGAACGCAGAACACGGTGTTGGTATTTTAATACTACTTGCATGCAGTCAGCAAAAGCTCTGAGTGTTTAAAATCAATGCAGCACTGCTCCTAGCTACTACTACTATTAGTTGCTTGGTTTTACATGATACGAGGTTCTCTAGCATCTGATCTTCTGCTCCCAAGGACATGCTTGTCAGCAGATCTCATCTAACTTGTCCTAGACTGGACTCCAGGAGCAAGCGAAGTGTTGTTGTGGGCATTCACCACCAGGACTGCTGAGCTGTCAGATCACCTTCATCTGTTTTGAGGGCTGGGATGGTAGCACCCCAAATAACCCAGGAGCGCTCTGGTAAGAGAACTCATAGAGCAGCAAGTAAGTTGTGTCTGGAAGAGCTGCTGTGCTTACTAGCTCCATTTTAGATCATCTGTGATCCTGAAAGGACATTTGTCTTGGAAGCTCCGAAGTAGAAGAAGCTACTTCCAAATGTGCAAGGGACTCAGGATCATAAGAGACCCAATGCAAAGCCCCACATTGGGTCTAGGAAGCTTTTCATTGACTCAGTGAGGAAATGCTTTTGAAAATTTACCTCTTCTCTGTTAAAAGTCATTGCCTTGCAGTCAGCGTTGGGCTTGATGCATCGGATGTAATGCGGTGTGGTTTTATTCAAAATCTGCATGAGATGTTCAAGTGAACCCTGTAGAAAACAAATACAGGTTGAATTAGGGACTCCTCCTCCCCAGGTAGTGGTCTTCTACACAACAATTAAGCCATTTTTTGCAGTATTAGCAGAGCTCACAGCTTCAGCAAAAAATCCACTCTCTGGATGCTTTTGTAAAATTGTTGATGGTAAATTCAGAAAGTTTCCAAAATCAGTTGAAGCTAACCCCTCAAGAGGAACAGGTAGGAAGAAGCCTCACAAAGGCAGATACCCAACTGTTAAAATTGGAGTGAGGTAAAACCCAGAGAATCTCAGGAGTCTGAAGCTATTTACTGATCTTGGTCCAACTACATAGTTTTCTCATCTAGTTATGAAGAGAGCAGTAGAAAGCAGAAACTTGGAATAGGACATACCTTGAACTTTGACACCACTGTAACAACAGCTGCTCTGTTCTGGGTTTTGATGTTATTTTGGTTCCTTTCTGTCACAGGAAATAATTTTTGAAGCAAAGGATCCCTAGAATTCTGCAAAACGTGGATCAGCTCTGGTGGAATGGGGTCCTGCAAACACAAAAATGACACATTAGTCTTTGGACTTTGGCAGAAACATGCCACCTTTGAAAATGACTAAGAATTCCACATATGTGGATGGAATAGTTTAATCTTCATAGGACAGTGTGCAGCAGAGACTAGAAAGTCTACCTTTTAATTAAGAGATGGTATTTTATTGCACCATCTAATACTATTTGCCGTAATTGCTAGCAATGTCAGAACTGACGGGACTGTCGTATCTCTGTGCTATTTCACTTATTCCCTGAGGGCACAACGAGGCCAAAACTCGAGTTTCTTGGTGCCTTCAGAACTTCCAATAGCTGAGTCCATGCTCTTGTTTCTCATAAACTTATTTGAACTTGGGGGGGACACGAAGGACTATAGTTATGCCTATAGAAATGCCCTGATGCCATTAACCCTTCTGCATTGTCTCAGGAATGCAAGAAGCCCTGATTTAGTGACACGTGGTCCACTTAACCCCGAGCGGAAAGGTCTGCTAATAAAGCATTTGCTTGTGATGGTGATGGCCCACTAAAAATTAGATCAAGAACATGACACAGTTTTACACGGCCTGAAGGATTTATTCGGAGCAAGGTACGTACATCCAGTAAACATCACTGAATATATATGTAAGTGGTGCTTTGATTTAAATTGCTTTTGTTCTATAAGATTTTTCTGGTTTGGGTTTGTTTGGTTTTTTTTTAAACAGCTCTTTCTGAAAACACCTACCTTATTTTTCTCCACCATTGCTGCCAGTTGATAGCAGACTTTGCCAGCATAATGTGAAATAATGAAGTTAGGCTTCTTACTGAACTTGTTTCGACTTAAGCATTGATTATTAGACAAAGAGTTCTCAATTCGAGTTTGAAACAGGTCAGTGTTAGAGGATCTATTCAGACGGCACTCCTGCATAGCAAAAAAGACAAAATTGCAGCATCTTTTATTTGTGATAAAGAAATATCTTGATAAGCTAAACCACTTTAAAATCATAGCCATTTTACTCTTCAGGTTGCTTTGAGTACGCAAGCCCTGAAATACTACGAAGGGGAACAAAAACAGATTAAATGGAGGCTTCATACCTGAATCAGAACATCCTGAATCAGAGGAAAAAAGACAACTCAGAATAGGAAGAAGCAGTGTCATGACTGCTCTGAAAAATACGCTCTCCAGAAATTTTAGAGCTGACAAGCCAGCCTCCCGTTAATTTAGTGTTCCTGTTTTCTTTGGTGGCATGGGACAGTAAGCAGGGAACTAGGCCAAACGCATTAGGGGTTTAGATCCACACTTACCTCATTCAGCAAAGAAAATATGCTGAGAGGACTGCCCTCTATCAGATCAAGGCAGGTCTGGTTATCCTGGTAGTTTATGAAAGACCACTGCAGGCCTTCAGCTGCATATTCTTCCTGAAGTCAGAGAGAAACCGGTTATTCTGCAGCAGAGGGCACTAGAGCTCAAAGAACTGTGACTGCAGTTTGCTGCAGTTACTGTTTAACAAGTAAATCCCAGGCTCAGCCTGCTCATCCAGCGCTCAGCTCGCGTTCAGTGGCAGTCTTGAGGAAAAAACCCACAAGGATATTCTACCCCGAGTAGCTTTTGAATGAGCAGGATCTGCTGCTACGTAATTTGTTTAAGTATTTGGGAGTCTCACAGATTTACTGGAGAGAGCTGCAAGGCTGTTTTACAGAGTAAATAGAGGCTATGGGCATGCTAAGCCTCTCCTGGCTGCACTGGGTTTTGGCCTGAAGAGTAAAGAGTGTGCAGAGCTCCTTCCTTCGATTGGGATGGAGCCGTAACCAGCCACGGTGTGCCAGACTTCACTAACCAGGCTCCATTTACAGCGAAGCCTGATCCAGAAGGAAGCAGAGATAGGTATCGGTTGAAATTAATTTGCATAATATTTATGCTGAATTACAGAACAAACTGTCTTGAGTGTTTAACAAGAACAAGCTCTGGATGGTTATTTTAAAAGTCTCCTGCCAAAAGCTTGCTCAGCACAGGCACTAATGGCATTTAAGCGGTTTGGGAAGCAGCCAGATCAAGAGAGGTAAGAGGGCAAGCAGTAATTGGGAGGGTTACTATAAACAGAGGTCATGAATCAGTTTCAAGGGAAATAATTGTGTGCCTGAACTGGGTTTCCATCTTCACTGACCATTAATCCCTGGCATACATTTTTCCTGGCAGGCAGGAAAAAAAAAAAAGCTGGGCATATGAAAGCACAAATTATGGTCAGGGAGATACTCATCTCCTGAATAAATTCATAAAACCGTGAAGTGGAAGGTGCCATTACATTAATAATTTCCCAGATTCCAGTTAATGGCAAAGAGCACTGTGGTAACGTATCTGTAACGTGGAGGAATTCAACAAGGACTGAAGTACATCTGTTAGAGCAGCAGCCCAGGCCTGGCAGGCACTCGGTAGCTTTCAGACCAGCCAGATGAGAACTGGAATTAGCAACGTGTCACCAGTTAGGCAAGTGACTGCGATGTATTTAGCACAGTGCAAATACCTTTTCTACTGTCAAACAACACAACTCCTCGTTGTGCACAGTGCGTTTTTGTCTTTAAAGGTACCGGCATGACAACTGGGCTTACGGAGCGGTTCTCCTGCAGCAGAAGGCCTCCACCAGGTACCATGTGCTGTTGATGTTTGGGTTATAAAGCTCTGTTGGGCTCTCTGCCTTCGCGCTAAGTGCAGGTGTAGAAGCTCCCCCCCCCATTTAAGCGCTTTATGCTTGTTGAAGAGAATGAACATGGTTATAAGCAGCAGCTTCCAAGAGCAGGTACCACGTGCTGTTGATGTTTGGGTTATAAAGTTCTGTTGGGCTCTCTGCCTTCGCACTAAGTGCAGGTGTAGAAGCTCCCCCCCCATTTAAGCGCTTTATGCTTGTTGAAGAGAATGAACATGGTTATAAGCAGCAGCTTCCAAGAGAATCTCAGTTTAGGCTACAGCTAGTTGTAGGTGTTCAGCTCTTTGGAAGAAAGCAAACAGTTTAACAGGCCACAGAGCCAATGGAGCTACATAACAGGGAACAGACTGCCAGTACCCAAGAGAGAAAGGCCTCTTTCTCCCACCTGCCCCATGCTCTCCTCTTTAAAAAAGCAATTGTTACTCACATCCTGCTGATTTCTGTGGCATTACTTACTCGACCAAAGGTTGCAATCTGACCAGAGGCACAGAAATACATTAAAGAGACAAAAGATGCTGTTTTAAAATTATGATCTTACTGGGGTACTATTACCTGTTGTGCCTTCAGATAGTGTGCTACGAAGTGCTGCTGCAGTTTCTCATTGGCGTAGTTAATACAAAGCTGCTCCAAGTTATTTTCAGGGAAGGCTTCAAAACCATAAACATCCAACAAACCTAGAAGGAATATGGGAAGACAGTGCACTTTGGTTTACGAGTAGCTTGAAGGACTTATGGTGACTGTCAAACCAGGCTGACTAACCATACCTATGAAGCTGGTCCACACTGATGGGTCTGCATAGATGCTTTCATTTATGACCAAAACGAGCCATTCAAACAATCTGCAGACAATGACAACTGTGTTAGTTTGAAAGCACTAGCTTACAACAAAGTAGTTTTCTTTTCCTGCTGTTTTTACCAGTATCGTGTGGAAGAAACAAAAAGTGACATGAAACAGCAGTTGTCTGCAGACCTCTCTATGAGACACTGCACCTAGGTCAGTGTCTACAATCGGATCAAGGGTGTGTCAAGCGGGGAAGGGAGGGTTATGCTGTTACTGAGTCCAAGCAGAAAGTCAGGGAAAATAAATCCCTCTGAGCCCTGTACTCCCTCATAAAAGTTATATGGGTTAGCACAGCGGCCTGGCCTACGTGCCCTTACTTCGCGTAGATGACTTTGGCAAGGCAGTCCCTCCTCGTCTCACATTCCGCTCTGGAGCATGGCTTCTTGAAGACTTGTTGTTGTTTTCCAGCAGTTATTATTCGAATTCTTAATGATTCCAGTAGTTCCTCGACAGGTATCTTCAGCAAATCTCCAGCAGTCTTCACAAAGTCTCGTTCAAGGAAAAAAAACACAAATGCAAGATTATCTGGAGTGTCAAATGAATGCGGCCTCTTCAAAGTTATGGAAGCTCTAGAGAAAAATGACACTTGCACAAGCTCACCAATTAAATGTGGATTCCGGGTCTTTGCCCAAACTTAGGAAAAAGTTTGGCAAGACCAGATTTAATGTGATGTGCAGTACCCCTAGAAATTGTAGGTACTTGTCCTGGGTTTAGCTAAAACCCCAGTCCTGTTTAGTGATTTTTACTTTCCAGTACTCTATTTAAAATGCAGCACTACCAAAAAAGTCTGAAGTTTGCCAGAATGAAGTAGACATTTTGGAGAGTGCTCTCGAGGTATGTCTTTGGTACCTTTTACTTTTTTAGCTCTTTTGAGCAGAGACCTCTAAATCCAGATAGATAAAACAGTCATGACCAGAAAAAAAACCCCACAGGGATTAGGGGGATAGTAAGGAAATAGAAGAGTATTTGCTAACAAAGTGTTTAAGATTTTGCTAACCTGAGCTGTATGCAAAGTTTTTTGAATATTAGGTAGCGTGAATTCAAAGCAAGTGAAATAACAGTAGAAAACTTCAGGACAGCGTTTTAGTTCTGAAAGAAAACTAGATCCACAAGCCTCCTAGACACGTAGAAAACTTGCTGCAATTTAATGTATTTGCTGCTACTAAGTTTTAGTCTTTATCATTAAAACTTCAAAGCTTTCATTTTAAAAGCCCCATTCTCCACTCTGGGTCAGATTTCTGGAAGCCTTCTGATGTCAGCCTAAGATTACAGTTCTGCCAATAATCCTTCTGAAATGACTGCCTAATGTTGCAGTTGCTTTGACCTGTAACGGAAGGATATTATCTCTCAGAGCAGGGGAGCATTAGGTTTTTGTTTGTTCAGTGAAGTACTGAACAAACACATGCTTAAATTTGGGTCTTTCCATGACCTTGAGAGCCTGCTATCAAGCAGAAGAGCGTAATAGTCCTTTCTGTTGGGCACCTGCACTGAGATAACAAGATCCTCTGGAGCACGGCACGCTTGTTGCCTCACCTTTGGCTTTGTCTTCTAGTTCACAAGGCTGAGATTCATCCACTGGATTAGAGAACTGAACATTCCCCAGATGGAGAAGGCCTGACAATACCTGGAATATAATGAAGCACTGAGTTTTCTCAAACAGAGCGTCCCTCCAAGATAGTGTCCTCTTAGCCACATGAACAGGAAACAGGACAAGACAAAGCATTTCTATAGAAAAAAAAAAAAGCAAGCAGATTCCACGCTTCTGTGTTAATTCCTAATTCTGCAGTTACTGAAGGAAAAGTAAAGTTCACAGGTGGATTCGTTTAGCTAAGACCTAATATTTGGTATCTGCAGGCCTTCCAGTCAGGAGTACCAAGAAATCCATGCTCTACACATTGGTACAGATTTACTTCTGCAGCAATCCCAGGCTAAAAAGACATTCCAAACCAGCTTGATGGTGACCATGCTTTGTACCTGACCTTGAAAATATTGTTCTGCGTGGAGCGGTCAATGCCCAAGTGAAACATTGCATCTCTGGTCACCTCGAAGCAGTCCTCTGAAAAGCCAAACGAGTGCTATTTAAAACAAAGCCAGGCAAGCAGAACGTTCTATACCAGGTCCAGTTTAGATCAAGGAAGCCGGGGGCTCTTTTGGTAAACCCCAGAATACGAGCTGGAGTGCCAAGTCATTGACTTAATACTGACTCTGTGGGGCTCTGCAGGAAGGCAGCAGGTTGCTGAAGCACATCCAAAGATGAGACAGTTTCTAAACACAGCCACAGAGAGATGCAAATTTGCTAGGCCAGAAACTGCTGCTTTATGCCAGGTGAAAATGCTTTAATAGCGCAAACTGAACCTTAAAAAGCATCACGTTAATGCAGGTGGCTTTGCAAGACGTCTGTTGTTGGTTGACCAACCTGGGTAATGGGATTTAATAGGACGTGGTTTTGCCTGCCTGCCTTTAAAGTTACAGTCATTATTAACGGACAGTATGTAATACTAATCTTTACCATCTAAGTTTCTTTCAGAATTTGGCAGCCAGTGGTAGTCAGCCCCTTCTGGAAGGTTCCATTCGACCCTCTCCTCTGCAGTAGCACCTTTTGTGATCTGGAGACAAAAAACAAGGTGACAACTCCTACTGGGAGCATGATTTAATTTGGAAGCATGGCAGAGAGGCAAACTGTTAAATATTAGAAGTTGCAACCGTGCTAAATCTGGTGATTTTATCACCACTATTTGTCAGAAAGATCTAGTAAAATTAACTGAAGGCAAACCTGATAGAAAATATGAAAGTTTCTTTCGTTGGGGGCCTGATAGGCAACTCTGGTCTTCTCCAAAAGGAAAGTCTGAATGGAAGCACTACTCAGGTGGTGGAATCTAGACCAGAGGGGGGAAAAAAAAATAAAAATAAAATTCAACAGAACGTCCTCACAGAATCTGATAGGTGTTGTGTTGTTACGGTACAGAAGGAAGAAGACAATAAATAAGGTTTTTGCGCAGTCATTGTTACCTGTCTAACTGAAGCTGGATGTATTTCCCAAAACGGCTACTGTTGTTATTCCGCAGGGTACACGCATTTCCTGTGAGATTGCCAGTGCCAGATACAGAATAATCAGTTATCCCTCTCTTCCATGGAGGACATACAGATATTAAGGGTGATTTGTATATAGGTCCACTATTTGAAGTGTTTATCTTTTAAGGAGAGGACCAAGAGCTAGCTTAGACTTGGTCATTAACAAAGAAAATTCCAACAAGGGCCAACACATCTTTTTGCTGTTAAAAAAGTCTCATTTACCAAATGCTTCCATGACAGGGTTTGAATCCAGCACTCTCTTCTCAATCCTTTCCACAGTCTCATTGCCTTTTGGGGAGATAGCTGAAGCAGCAACAGAAGCATAGAATTTCATAAGGCAGCGAGATGTCCAGGTCTGCAAGAGAGAGGCTTGACAATAGGCCCTTGTTTTTACCACATTATTAGTTATGGCAGTTAGTAAAACAGTGCTGGCTGCTGAAAACACAGTATGCAGCCGGTGACAACGCTAAAGAGAGTAACTGTGTCAGGTTTATTGCTCTAGTTCAGTGAAAGCTTTTTGTGCACATGCTTTATGTGCAACAGACACACATTTTGATTCTACTGAAGTCAAGAGTGCTTTGCTGAACGGCAGTTTTATCAAGATGTAACCATCTTAAGACAAACTGAATACAAATGGACTTAAGAGTCATTAACACCAAGTGAATAATTGTGTTCTCAGGCTTAAAAATATCCTCAATATCTTCTTGAATAGAGATGGACCATTGCAGAAGGGCCTAGGACAGGATCTGAACTCCCTGTTTCTCCTAAGTCTCTCCTTAGGACTTGCTGACACCCACACTAGCTCCCTAACAGACTAGGCTGAGGCATTAGCTCAGGTAAAAAAAATGATTCAAATCTAGCTCTCCCAGAAATCACAGCTGTCACCTAAAGAGCAGCTATATTTAGTAGAGTCTGTTTAACTGCAGCAATCATTTAATCCTTTACGCATATTTCAGGAGAGCTGTGCTTGAGCAGACTGGCTACGTGCTCTGTCAGAATTTATTTTTCTTTGTCTTCGCTTGTTCACTGCAACACTCTGCACCACAAACCACTCGCAAATCTCAAGACTTAAGAGCAATGTCAGGAAAAAGTCTCCTTACCTTCCCAGCACCACTTTCTCCGCTCACAATTATAGACTGGTTTACAGGGTCTATCTGGCTTTGGACATTTCTGTAGGTTTGCTCAGCCACTGCAAAGATGTGAGGTTTTAAATCCTGGCGATAAAAAAAGAATATTCCTATTTAAGAGAATAGTAATGGACAGCAAAGGTCTTCTCACATTTATCTGTAACCAGTACTGCTCTTTTAACAGAACTCCTATTTCACTATAAATTGTTTTTATCCTTTAGGATTATTTTTCTCATATAGATTTTGAAGAACTTGACATCTAGGTTTGGTGGAAGGACAGTAATTTCAATTTCAAATGTAAAGATTACCTGAGGGCGATGTGCAACATGGTACTCTCTCATAAGCTCAGGTGAATAAAGGTTGGAGATAGGCTGAAATGGATTTAAAGCCACCAGGCTGCAGCCAGCATTTGTATAAAACAAGTTTACTGTATATCTTGCTTGAAGACATTTCAAAACTGAAAGATATATCTCCTGTTAGCATCATTTGAAAAGTGTATTTGACTCTTCCTGTTCCTGCTTGTAACAAAAATCTTCAGATATGTTACCTATTAGGTTTAATAGAGAATGAGGTGATTGCGAGTGTCATGTAGGTCTAACATACATAACCATGTCTTTAAGACTTGCCCTTATTTTTAAAAATCTTAAGGGATCTGCTAACTATTCCATTCAATTAATCCTGTGCTTTTTATGAGATTTCACATAGTCAGTCCTAGAAAGCAAATCGGTTCACTTGCAGAACAGAGGCAAGAATTCCCCATCTGAGCTAGGAGCAGGCCTTAGCTTTGCTGAGTGAGGTATTTACTTTTCAAATCCAATTTCATGGCTATATGGTGACTCTAAGTTAGAGCCTCGTTTTCTGATACATTCCTACACTACCAAACTGCAATCACAAGGTCATGCAGGAGTCCTTTGGTAACGTTAACTCTCAGCCACGTACTGAACTAACAATACAAAAGGGAGCTCTATGCGCAGAGCTTGATAAGAGATCAGCATGGCTAAATCTACAGTAAAAGTATTTGGGGAAAAAAATAATCAACCGAGCCAAATGTGACTTTCTGAGCTTTTGAATAGGTTTTAATAGGCTTTGAATCTTTTAACTTACTAATGTGATGAGAACAGTAACCACTATGTATTAGTAGCCACCAGGGAAAGTGACTCCTCAAGAGATACTGTCCTGGCTGACTGCTTACCTGTTGTAGTTGTCACCGGATTAACTTTTGTGAGGTCATCAATAAGATGCAGCTTCTCCTCATCACTGAGGAACGCTCTAACTTCTTCTTCAAATGATTCACTGAGGTCATTCTGGATGGCAGAATCTTCTTTCTGGCCATTTTCCTGGACAGGATGTCAGACCAACACCAGTCAAAGGCTGAATATAGCTGGACTTTCAACCAGTTTATAACTCTTCTATTGCTTCCGTTTAACTTGCACCACGTGACATTTGCAGTCTGGCAAGGTCGTTCAGCACAGGCATGCTTATACAGTGTTCTTAACTGGTATATTTCTAAGCCTATGAATGTCGTGCCTTCGGTGCAAATGCTGCCTTGGCCAGGGGAAAGCAGGCAGGACTGGCTGCAGAGGCTAAAGTAGAGCTGAAAGCAACTGTGGTCCAACAAAAAAGCAGGTTTCCTAGCAGAGACTTTCACTTTTAGACCAGAGATTGAGGCCCCCCAAGAGTGAAGTTGCAGACTGCACATATCCCAGCCAGGGGAAAGGAATGGGGCCGTTCTGGGAGCTCATCTGCATGAGGATTTGTCCCCTTTGCATCACTTAAAGCATTTAAATCTTAGCCTCTGGGCTCCCATGTCCTTGACAATATTAGTTGGAAGGACACACTTGTTGTTCAAATGTAATGGAAAACTTAGCCAGAAAAGAGACTTCAGGTCCTGTTTGTCATTTCTAGGGAGAAGGAGAGAGAGGCTGGAAGGAAAAGATGCCAGGCCTGAGCTTTGCATTCTAGATATTCTTTTTCTGTTACCTTTCTTGACAGAAAGCCTTTTGAAATAAGCCTACTCATTTGTATTTAGTAGCATAAAACTGCAATCCTTTAGAAGTTAACCAAGTCAATGAACACCTTATTTATGCAGAAAAAGTGCTATATTTAGTGAGCGGCTTTCCCTCTACATGAGCTAAGCTCATTAATAAAGGGGGAAATATACTGCAAAACCCCATCAACACATTTCTAAACAAAAAATAAAGCTGCAATAACGTACTCATTTAGGAACATCATCATCTTTTGCAGACAGCATAAGCAGTTCATCTCCAGTAATAGAAAATTTTACACAGCAAGGGGAAAAAAAAAAAAGCTTAGCAATGCAGCTGAGCGTTATTGCAAGACCTCAGCAAGGGCTTGTTTTTGCTCCCCTGCAGCTCCCAGCTCAGCATCGCTTCATTTGAGAAGAGATGGTGATTGCTTAGGTGAAAGAAAAATGGTATCGCTTCTGACACCTACACTGGCCACCTACTACTGGCCATTAATTTTACTGAAAAAACACCCTTAAGGACGTGCTTACTACATGCATTAACGCCACCCCGTTAAAGCCAACGGCATAACAAAAATCACTCGCTGCTGTTAGTAACACAGCTCAAAACCACACAGCTAATAGCACCAGTTAACTCATGAAGTAAGGGCGAATACACATTAGTAGTTACCTAATCCTGACTATATGGAAATAAGCCAAAAATTCTTTCCTGGCAGTAAAATTTAATTAACACACATGATCTCCGGTTTTCTTTTTACCTGCTTTGGCATCTTGTCTGGCCTTATGGACGGGAACGCTGGAAAGGGCCTTTACTCCAGGGTATCTCATTCAGATCACACTGAAGAATGCTTAAATAAAACAAATAAATAAATAAAAGGCATGTAGAACAAAATAACTCTGGACGTCACGCTCCAGAAGGTTCCACGAGCAGAGCCCAAGAGGTTCAGACAGAAGCAATGGTCCCAGTGGGACCCAAGTAAGGCTCGAGCTGGAAAACCTACCCGTAACTATCAGAGTCATATGTTCCGTTTGCCCCTGCAAATAAAGCTCATTTGGAGGGAATAATGTTTCTTTCCTTACAGCAGCAATGAAATGCTTTGTTTCTCTTGCATTAATAAATTGCAACTTTGTTTTGGTTAAATTCCTCCTTTTAGGACAAATAGGAAAGATCTGTGGTTCTGACAGTGGCAGAGAAGCTACTGCTTTTGGCAAAGGAGTGACTCGAAGAAATTTTGTATGGCAGCAGCGACCCGATACGCTTGCTTGCTGCCCTCTTCCTGCTTCCTCTAAAAAATCAGCGGGAGCCAGCCCAAGGTGAGTCAAGCTCGCCCTTTGAGTTTCTGTGACAAACACAGAGATTCCAGTCACATAACCAGGACGAATTCTGTCTTCTTCCTGCAGCTGATACTGCCTTCTTTTTTCTTTTCTTTTCTTTTCTTTTCTTTTCTTTTCTTTTCTTTTCTTTTCTTTTCTTTTCTTTTCTCTATTTTATTCTATTTCATTCTATTTCTATTCTATTATTCTTATTCTGCTCTATTCTATTGATCTCTACTTATTTCTCTTCTCATTCCCATCCCTATCGAATTTTTACCCAGCACGAAGACACCGTTAAGAGACTTTGTTGATCCACGAAGCGCAGCGCACAGAGCTCAGGGTACACACACCCATCACCTCCCTCTCCACCTTTACAGGGGTTTTAATAATTTCCGAGGTTTCTCCCTCCCAGCC